CCAATCAAATCTTGCAATATATCCTTCAATTCTTTCAGCTCAACTGGAGCCATACAGTACGACAAAATAGAAATAGGCTAAGTGCCTAGAACCAAATCAATGCAAAAGTCGATATCCCTGTCCGGCAGAATACTAAGAAAATCAATAGAAAGCACCTTTGGGAACTCACTCACAACTTGTACTGAATCCATAGAAGGAACATGTGATAGCGTCCATGGAAGCTCAACATCATTAAAGGAGAAGATGAAGCTCTGGAAGCTCCAAAAAGGTCCATGACAAGGTCTCAAGCAAAACAATTTCACGAAAAGCTTAATGGGCTTCAATTGGCAATTAAAAAGTGTCTTATAAAAGAAGTAGAGCTCCAACACAAAGAGGATCTTTGGGCTAAGTCTTACAACTATTTGGAGGCCCAAATTAAAGTCCAAGTGGAGATGGAATGAGGCCCATATATTCCCCAAAAAAGAGGAATTTTCAGCAGCCCAAATAAGCCCAAAAATAGTTTCTAGAATATATATATTTTTGATAATTGTTTTAATCTATGTTGTCTTGCATTAAGCTCTGTGTATGTTGACTACATTGGTCTTAGTGTGGGTAGTCTTCTATGCTTCTAGGGAATATAATTTCAATTTATATAAGTTTTGACTAGCTCCTTCTTTACTACCATATAAAGCGGTGCCTGTCTTCCATTGTGGAGAACAACATTGAAGATTAATATTATTATTATGAGTTCTTTTGAACCTTTGTGAACTTTACTTTGAGATTTATCTTGCAAACCTAACTAGTTCACAACTTAAGGTAGTAAGATAATTTTCTTTCTTGTGATATCTTTTGTTTCTTTTGATATACTTCCAAGGCGACTAGTTTCTTTTATTAGTTGTTGTCGTAAGTTATTCAAACTAGAAGTCAAGATCCGAATCTGGTTCTTGATTAGCTTATCTCTAGTGAAGGCAATTGGTTTCATAACCAACTTATTTTTATTAGTATCATGTCGAATTCTAGATTAACATAATCTCTGGGTTCTTGGATCTTTCATTGAATTTCCACATATCTAGTTTATTTTTCTTCCTTTTCCCAATTCAATTGCATCTCTTTACTGCTTCTGCATTTCTTTAGCATATTTTCTTTAAGTTCTTGCATCTCCCTACATTTGTGTTATCAAGTGGTATCAGAGCGGTTGTATCAAGAATCCATTCAAGAAATAAGATTTTATTTGTGTTTGTTTCCAAAGTCAAGAAAGAAAACAAGAACAGGGGATCCTAGATCTTTAAGGATAAGAATAAAAAATCAAATTTTCTTCTTCTTTGATCTTGTTCTAAAAATCTTTTTGCCTGTTCGAGTTTTGTTTCAACTAAATTTTACTCTTTCTAGGATTGGTTCTTCACTTTCTTTAGTGCCCCAAAATTCCTTATTTTACTAATAAGGGCTTTGATACGAGTTGGGTTTAATTATAAATCTACAAGGTAGTTTTCAAAGGTTAATTGAGGGGAAAAAGGGAAGAGTATGTGAGAACAATTGAGGGAAAGAGCCAAAGTTTGAGTGATAACTATTTTTTAAAGACGTCTCATACAGGTGCAAGCGATGATGAACAGAGGGCTGTTCAGGAGCCCAAATCCGAGAAAAAAATAATCTCACTATGCAAGCTATGCACCAATAATTCGAGAGATGGAACTTGCAATTCCAAGAGATAAGTAATACTATTGCTAAAGAATATGAGATAATAGATGCACTTAGGAGGAGAAATCAATTTGATGTACAACCTCGAAATAATCCCAGGCCTCATAATAGAAGAAATGTACCCCATGCCCCATTGTAAATTAAGAAAACCCTATAGATGATTGTGTTGATAATCTTGATGTAAATCTAGATATGTGGGAAGAGATAGAAGGGGACAATGAGGTAGAATAGAAGATGATAATATTAATAGCATAAAAATGAAGATTTCATCTTTCAAGGGCACAAGAGATTGATTAGGAGCGAAAAGTTAAGGCTATCTTTGACTGTCACAACTACGCTAAAGGTAAGAAGGTTAAGTTTGTTGTTGTTGAATTTTCTGATTATGCTTATATTTGGTGGAAAATCTTACAAGGGACAAACAACAAGATAGAGAACCACCCATTGCTACTTGGACCGAGATGAACAAAGTCATGAGAAAGAGATTGTACCTTCCCATTTTCAAAGAGACCTACAACTGCGTCTTCAGATCTTGAAGCAAGGAACCATGACTTTTGATGAATACTTTAAAGATATGGATAGGCTATGATCCAAGCTAATTGTAGGGAATGAGAATATGCCATTTGGCTAGATTTCTTAATGGTTTAAATAGAGAAATAACTGATGTAGTACAGATACAACAATATGTAACTATAGATTTGTTACTAAATTTGGCTGTAAAAATAGAAAAGCAAAATAAGAGAAGGTAGTAAGCTAGCTCATGGAGAAGTCGGCCAATCACCGATTCCAAGAAACCATGGAAAAAACAAGAAGTGATTTCTAGACCTCAAGAAGACAAGGGAAAAGGTAAAGTTGATGAGAAAGAGGGATGTAAAGCTTTCAATTTTATATTCTCTAAACCTTCTAGTTCCATTCAATGTCACAAATGTCATGGAAAAGGCCATATGATGCATGAATGGAGCATATGAGAGTGAAAAAATTAAAGAACAAGAGGGAGGAGTAAGTGAAGATGCTGTAGAACTTCCTAATGATGGTTTGGTTGGGGTAGTTAGGTGGACCATAGATAGAGAATATGAGGGAGAAAAAAGTGAGGAAGAGGAAGAAGAGGAAGGTGTGAGTGAAGATGATGTAGAGTTTCATTTTAATGATTGTTTGGTGGGGTAGTTAGGAGGATTATGAATATTAATTTAGGAATCAATAGTGAAGAACAAAGGGAGAATATATTTCATACTAGGTGTGGATTAAAGGGGAAAAATTGTTCTATGATTATTGATAGTGATCGTTGTGCTAATGTGGTGAGTTCACACTTGGTGAACATGTTAGAGCCTGCAAGCATGAAACACCCTAAACCCTATAGACTCCAATGGTTGAATAATAGTGGTGAACTGAAAGTCAACAAATAATGCATGATTTTCTTCAATGTTGGTAGGTATGGGGATAATGTTTTTTGTGATGTGGTTCCTGTGCGAACTTGTCACATCTTGTTAGGTCGTCTGTGGATAGGAATATTTTTCTTGATGGAAGAAAGAATATATATTCTCTTGAGCTTAATGGAAAGAAGTATACTCTTGAACCTTAAAGTAGTTCTAAAGTGTTTGAAGATCAAAAGAGATTGAGGGAAATAATGGGAAAACAAAGGGGAGAAAAGAAATGTGAGCTTGAGGGAAAAGAAAATAAAGAAGGCCAAGAGCTAGCAAAAAAGAGAGATGCCCGAGAGAGAGAGAGAGAGAGAGGGTAGCAACTTGAAAAAAGTGGTAAAATAGGGTTTGAGTAATAAAAAGGAAAGTTTTGGTGAGCGGAAAGAGGCAAAGGAAAAGAAAAAGGAGAGTTTGTACATAATAGCCAAAGATTGTTTGAATGCAAGAAAGAAGGGATGACTATTATGCTACTTACCTACTAAGAAGTTTTGATTAATACTGAGTTACTAACTTCTTCTTTTGCCAATTAGTGTCTCTTCTCTTTTGCAGGATTTTGATGATGTCTTCCTTGAGGATATACGTAAAGGTCTACCACCTTTGTGTGGCATTGAGCACCATGTTAACTTTGTGTCTGGAGCACAAATCCAAATAGGCCTTCTTATAAGAGTCATCCAGAAGAGACAAAAGAGATTCGAAGGCAAGTTGAGGAGTTACTTGAGAAAGGTTTTGTAAGAGAGAGCATGAGTCCTTGCTCTTTTCCCATCCAATTGGTACCCAAAAAGGATGGAACTTGGAGAATGTGCGTAGATTGAAGAGCAATCAACAAGATAATGGTAAAGTATCACCATCCTATCCCTCGTCTTGATGACATGTTGGATCAATTGCATGGAACCAAAGTCCTTACTAAAATCGATCTAAGGAGTGGTTACCATCATATTCTAATGAATCCAGGAGATGAATAGAAAATTGCTTTTAAGACCAAATATAGGCTTTATGAGTGGTTAGTTGTGTCATTTGGCTTGACTAATGCACCCAACACTTTCATGAAATTGAAGAATCATGTTTTTAAGGGTTTTCATGAAAATATTATTGTGGTTTATTTTGATGATATCTTGATTTATTCTGAAAATCTAGATGGGCATTTGGAACACTTAAAACAAGTTTTTGAAGTTCTAAACAAGCAACACTTATTTCCTCATCTTAAGTAGTGTGCTTTCTGTATGGATCATGGGGCATTATTGGGTTTTGTGGTTTGTTCTAAGGGAGTTGAAGTTGATGAAGAGAAAATCAAGGCAATCACAGAATGGCCTAAACCTAACAGTGTAACTGAAGTTAGGAGTTTTTATGGGCTTGCTAGTTTTTATTGGAGATCCGTTAGAGATTTTAACATTGTTGCTGCTCCTTTAATTGAAGTTATTAAGAAGGATAAGGTTTATTCATGGGGAAAAGAATAATATAATATTTTTAACTTGTTGAAAGAAAAATTGTGTTCCTCTCCTCTTCTGCAATTACCTGATTTTTCTAAGTCGTTTGAGGTTGAATGTGATGCCTCCGGAAAAGGAATTGGTGCTGTTTTGATGCAAGACTCGAAGCCCATTGCATACTTTAGTGAAAAGATAAGTGGAGCTACATTGAACTGCTCAACATATTACAAAGATTTATATTCTTTGGTAAGGGCTTTAGATACATGACAACATTATTTGTGGCCAAGAGAGTTTGTGGTTAAAACTGACCATGAAATCCTTTAGATATTTGAAGAGCCAAGGTAAGCTTAATCGTCCCCATGCAAAATGGGTTGAATTCATTGAAACATTCCCATATGTGATTGCTTACAAGCAAGGAAAAGAGAATGTGGTTGTTGATGCACTTTAAAGAAGTTATGTCTTGGTTTATTCTCTTACTTCTAAATTGATGGGTTTTGATCAAATCAAGGGACTTTATTCTAATGGTTTTGATTTTGGAAAGGATTTTGCAGAATGTAAGTTGGGTCCTTATGAGAGGTTCAATCTTCGAGATGGGTTCCTTTTTAAAGAAAATAAATTGTGTATTCCTAATTGTTTGTTGCGTGGATTATTTGTTAGGGAAGCACATTGTGGTAGACTCATGGGATACTTTGGAGTTCCTAAAACTTTGGATATACTTGCTGAAATTTTTTTTGTCCTGGCATGCAAAAGGATGTTGAAAGAGTGTGCTCTCAATGTCTTGAATGTAAACAAGCCAAATCAAAAGGGTTACACATGGTCTTTATACTCTTTTACTTGTCCCTGCTTATCTTTGGATTGATATTTCTATGAATTTTGTGTTAGGGCTTCCTAGAACAAATATTGTAAGGATAGTATATTTGAGGTGGTAGATAGATTTTCAAAAATGGCTTTTTTTATTCCATGCTTGAAGACTAATGATGCATTACATGTGGCTAATTTATTTGTGAAGGAAGTGGTTAAATTATATGGCATACCTAAAACTATCATTAGTGATAGGGATGGAAAATTTTTATGTCACTTTTGGAGAGTACTTTGGGCGAAGTTGGGGGCTAAATTGCTATTTTCTATATCTTGTCACCCACAAACTGGGCAAAGAATGTAGTTAATAGGACCTTAGGGAATACGTTGAGAGTTGTTTTAAAAGGAAAATCATCTTCTTGGGAAGAACATTTGCCCATGGTAGAGTTTGCCAATTATAAAACCATCCACTCTTCTACTGGTAAGTCTCATTTTAATGTTGTTTATGGATTTAGTCCCGTCACTCCCGTTGATTTTTTGCCTTTGCCTACTAATGACATTGTTAATCTTGATGGTAGGAATAAGACAGAAATGATGAAGAAGATTCATGAACATACAAGGCTTGAAATTGAACGGAAGAATGAATAAACTGCCTTAAGAAGAAATAAGGGGCGGAAATTTGTTATTTTTAAGCCTGGAGATTTAGTTTGGGTGCATTTTAGGATGGAAAGATTTCCTGCCAAATGAAGAACCAAATTAGATCCAAGAGGAAATGGGCCATTTGAATTCCTTGAAAGGATTTGAGACAATGCTTACATACTTGACCTTCCTAGTGAATATCAATTTAGTGCTACCTTCAATGTTTCTGGCCTTTCCTTGTTTGATGCAAGCTCGAATACAAGGACGAATTCTCTTCAATAAGAGGGGAATGATAGCATCCATGACAGCTCAACATCATTAAATGAGAATGGTGAAGCTCTGGAAGCTCCAAGAAGGACCATGACAAGGTCTCAAACAAGAAAATTTCAAGACAAGCTTAATGGACTTCAATTGGTAATTAAAAAGTGTCTTATAATGGAAGAAGAACTCCAGCAAAAGGAGGATCCTTGGGCCAGGTCTTACAACTATTTGGAGGCCCAAATGAAAGTCCAAGAGGAGATAGAATGAGGCCCAAATATGCCCCAAAAAGAGGAATTTTCAGCAGCCCAAATAAGCCCAAAACAAGTTTCTACAATATATATTTAATAGTTGGATCGACTTACGAAATTAGAACACTTCTTACTTGTTAAGGCTACCAACACAGCGTAACAATATGATCAGTGCAATAGTCAGATTGCATGGGGCTCGAGATTCTATTATCTTAGATCGAGGGGCACAATTCACAGATAAATTTTGGAAGAAATTTATGCAAGGTTTGGGTACTTAGATGAATCTTAGTAAAACCATTCATCCATAGACCCACGGGCAGGCAGAGCAGACCATTTAGATGTTCGAGGATATGTTGCGTGCTTGTGTTCTTGACTTCAAAGCTGGCTGGGATGATCATTTGCCGCGCAAAGAATTTCCCTATAGCAACAGTTATCATGCTAGCAATCAGATGGCGCCGTTCGAGGCTCTATATGGTAGGAGACGTGGATATCCTATTCGGTGGTTCGAGATTGGGGAAGAAGAATTGATAGGACCAAACCTCGTGCATCAGGCTATGGAGAAGGTTAAGGTCATTAAGGATCAATTTAAAACTCTCAGAGTCGTCAGAAGTCCTATTCGAATGTTCGTTGTAGGGAATTGGAGTTCAAAGAGGAAGATTGGGTATTCTTGAAGGATTCCCTCATGAAGGGTATAGTGCGGTGTGGTACGAAAGGGAAATTGGGTCTGGGGTATGTCAGACCATAAAGAATCATTCAGAGGGTTGGTGAGGTTTCTTAAAAACTTGAGCTACCACCAGAGTTGTCGTTGGTGCACCCGGTATTTCATGTGTCTATATTGAAGAAGGTAGTTGGAGACTCGACACTCATTGTTCCGGTTGAGACTCTTGAGGTTAATAAGGATTTGACTTATGAAAAATTTCCAGTTGCAATTCTTGATAGGCAAGTCCGAAAGCTGAGCAATAAAGAAATTACCTCCATGAAGGTGCTATGGCGAAACCAACAGGTTGAAGAGGCCACCCAGGAGGCTGAGGAAGAGACGAAGAAGAAGTGCCCCCATTTGTTTGAGTAACTGTGTATTTATGAAGTTTTGTTCTATGAAAAATGTTAAGAGTTTACTTTCTATGAATTATGTATCGCTTGTATAGTTGATGTTAAAGGTGTTCCTTTCCAGTAAAATATTACTTATAAGGCCACAGTTGATCTCGTTTTCATGATATGTTGCATCGTTGGATTATGTATACATTGTTAGGATTGGTTTCTGGGATTCTCTGACAGGTGCATAGGACTAGTTGTAGGCGAGACTCTGCTGAAATTTTTGAAAATTTAGGGAGTTAGTCAAAATTTAGAACTGCTAGTGTGTGAACTAAAAGTTGGGTCACATTGGAAGCTGATGGCGGATTTTGACCCTCATTCAAGGATGAAGGAACTTAAGCAGGGGAGGATGTAAGGACATGTAAAGTTTCACCTAAAACTCGGGGTTTTCTGGCGCCGAGGTAGAGTAATGTGATTGAGGATTGTACAGTATGTCGGGGAGTTGAAGGAATCATTTTTGCAGACCATGACAGTTCTGCGCTATACCGCCACATAACCATATTGTGGGTCGCAGATCGGTCGCGGAGCGAAGCAGGACTTGAGCAAATTTTGAGGACCATTATGCGTTCCATTTTGCAGTCGCATAACCATTTCACGGACCACACAATCCATCTTAGATCCAACATGAAGATTCCCGGAGGGAGATTTTGCGGCATGTTATGCGACCGCATACCTGTTCGGTGGGCCGTATAATAGCCGTAGACCTGTCCTACCCTGCCCAATTTTTGGGACCCTTTCTGCGGTCCCCATTGCGGGCCGCATACCCATTTTGCGGACCGGTCTGCTACCGCAGACCAGGATTTGCATAGTTTAAGTTTTGGAAAGTTTCACCCGATCCCATTTTTATAAAAACAACTTGGGGTTTGTTTTGGCTAGTTCCAACTGATATTTTAGAGGCAGGAAAGTGGTCTAGAGTGAGAGGGGGGATTCCTAAGCTAATTGTTTATCAATCCTTGCTCAAGACTTGGAGAATTCATAAGGAAAACTCACAAGGTCTTCATCCAACAGGTAAGGTTCCACATTATAGTCTTTAATTTCATGTTTGAGGGTAGAAGATGGGTAATGTGGAGTGTGATTCTTAGGTATGGGGGGTGTTATCTACATGCATGCATGTACTAACAACGTTGTGGGAAGCTTGGTGAGCCCAAAATGGTAGGTATTTGGTTGTGGGATGTAGGAATACAACATTTGAGGACCTTCAAATCATAATGCACACCTAGTGTTTGATAAAATGCTCAAATGAGCTGAAACCATGAATATCTTCTAATTTTTATTCAATTTCGTTATTTCTCAGAAATAGTTGAAATTTCTAGGATTTTGGGAACATTGTAGTAATTTAAGGAAATCTCAAAGCGAGGTATGTTGGCTATTATCCTTCGGGAACGTAATCAAGTGTGACCAATGTGTCAAAATATTATGAATTCAATCATGTTTCCATTGCATGTTATTATGGCAAATTGTGGAAGAAAACTCAATGTGCCTAAGACTCTTATTTGCTCATAAGTGTACTAAAATTTGTGATTAGAGATGCTTTGTTGTTAATAATCCTTGATGGTGCTTGAAAGTGAAAGGAGTGAACATGAAATATGAAACATGGCCGACGTGTCGAGAATAATAGTATAATTGTGGCTACTAGTGCCAATGAAATGGAATGATGTGTGAAAGATTATGAAATGAGCTGTAAATCCATTAAATAATAAATGTTTTTGGAGTATCGGTAGTCACCGATGTCACGACCCAATTCCCAAACCCGGTCGTGATGGCGCCTCTCGTGAAGACAAGGCCAGCCAGACCAACACGAATCTCCCTTTTGAACAATTATTTAACATAAACCGTTCTAAACATGATTTAATAACCATAACATGTGAAAATAGCAAATACGGTAAGGGAAACCATCCCGACACAGCCTAAACCGGGGTGTCACAAGTCATGAGCTACTACAGAGTTTACTATAAGTCTACAGAGAATGAAATCCGATACAATAGTCCGAAAAAAATATAAATGATAGAGGATAAGGGAGACAAGGGGCTGCGGACGTCAACAGCTACCTCGTAACTCCAAATCGCTGCTTGGTCTGGAAGGAATCAACGCTCATGTGCGAACTCTGCTATGCCTGAATATGCACACATGGTGCAGGGAGTAATGTGAGTACTCCGACCCAGTGAATAATAACAATAAATAATGGCTGAAAGCATGAAAACTCATAAAGGCACAAGGGAATTCTATATCAGGCAATAAATCACTTAAATCAGTAAAAACCGTTAAGTATCAAATGAAATCTTCTTTTAAAAACAGGTAAATCAGGTAGAACAACAAGTAAATATTGAGTAGTAATCTGCCCCTCGGGCCCAGTATCAATCGCTCAGAACAGTATCAGCCCCTCGGGCTCACTCTCAGTCACTCAGCATAGTATCAGCCCCTCGGGCATCAGTAAACAGTAGTGCTCAGCCCAAACAACATTGGAAATATCATTTAAGTCTCAAATTCAATTAAAAGTGGCTGAGTTTGTAAAACAGTATCAATCAATAGGACTGAGTTCATGTAATATATCAAAATAGTGAGGAAACAGTGATAAAAGTCCACGAAGGATTCAAGTAGTCGGCATGAAGCCCAAAATATGGCAATAAGCCCATATCATGTTGATAACAAACACATCTCAGTCAAATACGTGGTAAAAACATAAATCAGGACGGACCAAGTCACAATCCCCAGTAGTAAGAAACCCCGCGCTCGTCATTAAGCACCTGTTTCACCTCAATATAGCACTACGTTGTGCAAATCCGGGGTCTCAAACCCTCAGGACATCATTTAGTATCATTACTCACCTCAAGCCGGCCAATTCTCTAGCTTGCTATGTCCTGGCCTCTCAAATCGGCCTCCTCGCGCGTCGAATCTGACCAAAACTACAAAGAATACGTCATGATAGGCTAAGAGAACATAACCCAATCGAAAAGAATCGAAAAATATCAAAAATCACGAAATTTGCAAAACCCAAGTCCCGGGCCCACTTCTCGAAACTCAGAAATTTTTACATCAACGTGTTCCTTATCTCGCCACGAGTCTATACATACCAAGAACTCCCAAATCCGAGCTCAAATGACCCATCAAAACCCAATTTGAAATATCAAAACTCAAGCCCTAGTTCTTCCCCTTTTTGCTAAGTTTTCATGAATTTCTAGGTTGATTCTACAATTAAATCATGTTTTTAGATCATAGGACTCACCTCCAATCAATCCCAGTCAAAACCCTCTTCAATTCCCGTCCAAAAGCTCTCAAGGATGCTCAACAATGGTGAAAATTAACTTAGACTCGTGAAGGAAATGTTATTAAAACCCTTCTGTCCAGCTGACATTTTACCCTATGCGAATGCGAGGGCTCTCTCGCGTTTGCGATGAACAAAACTTGCCTCTGACCAAATTACCCTTCGCGAACGCGGTGCCTTACCCGCGAATGCGATGCTTTAACTGTTACAACTACACGAACGCGAGCCTGATGCCGCGAACGCGAAGAACAATGCCAACGGGGCCCAGGCCCCTCCTATGCGAACGCGAAGCTCAACCCCCTTTGCCTTCCGCGAACGCGAGCCTCTAACGCGAACGTGAAGGCTTAAATTCCTGCCTTCCAAATCCTTCTTCGCGAACGCGAGGCCCTTTGCGCGAACGCGAAGAGATAAATCTCTGCAACACCTGAAATGAAAAATCTGCAACTCCTCAAAGCCAAAAATGATCCGATTGACCACCCGAAACTCACCCGAGGCCCCCGGGACCTCAACCAAAAGCACCAATGCATCCTGAAACATCACTCAAACTTTTTCCAATCATCAAAACACCTCGAACAACACTAAAACCATCAATTCTCATCGAATTCAAGCCTAAGTTCTTCTAAAACTTCCGAAACACGCATTCGATCAAAAACCCAACCAAAACACCTCCGAATGACATGAAATTTTGCACAAACATCCCAAATCACCTAATAAAGCTACAGCAACTCTCGGAATTCCATTCCGACCCTCGGATCAAAATTTCACCTATCAACCGGAATTCGCCAAAATACTAACTTCGCCAATTCAAGCCTAATTCTACACCGGACCTCCAAAACCAATTCCGATCACGCTCCTAAGTCATAATTCACCCAACGAAGCTAACCAAATCATAAAAATTCCAGTCCGAGTTCATATACAAATAAGTCAACTCTTGGTCAAACCTTTCAAATTTAAAGCTTTCAACTAAGACTGTTCTTTCAAATTCATACCGATTTCCGTGAAAACCAAAACCAACAATCTAAATCAGTCATAATACATCGTACGGGGCAAGTCATGCCTGAGAACTAGCGACCAAAGTACAAAAGCTCAAAACGACCGGTCGGGTCGTTACAACCGAGGAAGCATAGGTTGAAATAACCTAACCCCAAAAGTACACGTGCCGGTGTAGGAGTGGATTGTGATTATTCTTCTTATTTGGGATGAGATTGATGTGATTTGATTATTACACATAATTTTGATGAGATGATTTCTAGCGAAGGGTGATGTCGATCCACACGGCATTTTGGTCAGACGGCCTAGCCGATCGGGTCGAGATCGGACGCCATGCCGCACACATGATGATAATTGTGCTTAAGATTGTAATTGAGATAATGATTGAGATTGTGATTGGGTGTCTTTGGGTGATACGGCCTAGCCAGTTGGGCCGTGATCGGACTCCATGCTAAAGACACGGTGATATATCGGTACTAAAGATATGCCAACCTAAAACTTGGAAATTTACTTGAGAACTTGTCTTGCTCCCATATGTTTTGGTATTGTTTGAGGCTCCCATTTATTCTATGATTGATATTTTTTGTATTATTACTTGTTCTATTGAGAGGGTGATTAGTCATTCATACTAGTACTATTCCATATGTAATAACATCCCTTTTACCTGGGGTGCTGCATATTTAATGGATGCATATGGTTCCAAAGCAGGCAGCATTGATCGATGA